CAACCAGTACTGTAAGGTTTATAGAATAACTTTTCAAGTAAATAACAGTAATGCCAATATAAATAATCAGGTAAGCAGAATCAAGTTACTTTTGCAGCTTGCAAAAATAGGTTAGCCAAGAGTTTTTTTTTTAGTATTGGATTCAAAGAAACAACTGTGTATGTTCATAGCAATAACTTTCAAATAACTAGGTGAGTCAGTTCAAAATATTTTTTAAATCCTTAAAAATATTAAATATTTTTAGCCACATCATTGTCGGTTGTTCGAAGACAAATAAGCAAGTAACTTTGAAAAAAAAATGAACTCAAGTAACACTTATGCAGAAAGTATGTATGAAATAGATTTGGATCTTCTAATCACATTTAATTAAAAAATGACAATTGACATTTTGTACATATGTAAAAATTTGTTTTTACCACAAACAAAACACTATTATTACAAACCACACATGGATTAAAATATGTAAAATAAGTCTGTACAATTAAGTACATGGCAGGCCAAAATAAACAGGCATTTTATTATACCCACTAACAGGTATGTTCCAAACATATGTTCTTTTCTAAGAGTTAAAACATCTCTTAGCCTATATTTTTATGTCTGTTATAGAGCAAAGCCACATTAGGCTATCTGCTGTGCCCTCTGCAGGGAATAGAACCCCAGATTTGAGTATTGTAAGACATAAACTTGCTGCTGCCCTACTGGGGGACCTTTTAACCTGCCATTATTCAGTTCAAAACTTTTCTATAATAAATAGTTAATACAAACTTGAATTAAAGGCTTTATTTTTTTCAATTCAAATATTTACAAATTTTTCTTTCATACATTCACCCATACACACTGGAAGAACAACATTTGAAAATTTCAGAAATAAATCATATTAAGAATAGCAAATACCATGAGGTCAAATAAGAAAAAAAATCTATCCAACTGTCACCTAGTAACAATAATTTATTATTCAAACTCTTAAATTCAGGGTCCCTTCTCATTTGAATTTGTTACATTTACATGGGCAACTAATATTGGAACTGTTAAATTTCAATCAGCCCTTTTTTTCCCTGTTATTTTGGTTAATTTATAGTTTCAACTGTCATAATGTTCTATCAAACCACATATATGTAAAAAAAAAAATTACCTTTATTTGGATACCTTACTGAACAACAGATTTATGGAGGGTTGTTAAGACTAAACATATGAAATATTTTGTGAATTCTTTGTGACTTATGGAGGGATAATAGGTTATGTAAAAAATTTAAAAATCCATATAAAGAGAATAACCTAGTATTTGATGGAAACAAACACCAAGGATTGGAAGAAAAAATTTAAAAGGGTGATTGTTTCATAATAAAAATGTAAAACACACACAAAAAAATAAAACAAAAAACATTACTAAAACGTCTACATTTGACACTACTGTTTTCTAATTATGTAGTTAAATATTAAACTACTTAAAACCTCAAAAATTACTTTAATAACAAAACTTAAAAGCTTATCTATGAAAATCATAATGTGAGTACTTTATAAGTACATCCTGATGAAATTGATGATGATAAGATTCTAAGTCATTCATAACACATCGTATGTGTAGATAAGAAAGAAAGTTATTCTGATTTTAACAAAGATCTAAAAAATAAACAAACTTTCAAAAAACGTGTGACTGGTAAAGTACCTATAATGTAAATAAAAACCAATGTATTTAAGCAATCTGAAAAATGTTTCTTTAATACACTCACATGACAAGTTTACAAATGTCGCATTTAATTTATTGTAAGCGTCAAGTGTAAACATACCTATTACCCTGTTTACTATAATACAAACATTTATAATACAAGGCACTGAAACACTGCATATTATTTAAAACAAAGTACATATTAAGAGAACAATCATAAAACATTTAAATGGTAAACAGCTAGTTGGCAAAGCTGAATAATTATTTTACAATGAACAAAGTGAATGCATTTTTTGTCAGTTTAATATATTTCATTTGATCTTACTTAAATGAATTTTGTTTTCTGTAAAACTACAATTAAACCTTGTAATTTTAGTGATCTGCAGCAGATCATCTTAATGCCAGATGGTTTACTCATGATATCTGTACATGTGCCTGTTTGAGAAAGTATAACTTATGCACAGGCCAATCACTATAATGTATTTTGAATTTAAAAGAAAAATTAAAAAACTATAAAAAACACTTTGTTGGACAATTATTTACTAAATTTTACATTATTTTTGCATTCAATTTCTATTATGTGTTTTCATTAAATTCTTTCTTAATTTTCATTTCATTCTTTGTCTTTACAATTTTTTTAACATTCTTTTACATAAAACAAATAAACAATCATTTTCTATAGCAAGTTTGGATTTTTTTAATCATTTATCATGTTTCTCACACTCCAAAAAAGTCACCCATGCAACATTTTCAATAAAAGTCAACCTACACATTTCTGAGTTGTTAAGGTGATGTTATACTCATTCCCAACTTACCTCTAAAGAAGGAAGTTCTACTTTCTAAAAGTTCTTGGATTATAAGGCTTCTTATTGTGCAATTCATCTAATTTTTGAGTGTACCTAATTTCTTGATATCATGATTTTATTTTTAAATACATAATTCAGCATAACATTACATTTGTTTTGTCTTTTTTTTTTCTTCTTCAAGACTTCCAATTTTACTTTCCTCAAAGAAGAATCCCAATAAGAAAAGTGATAATAGAATCTGCTTTCATAGGAGAAAAATACTAACTGGGAAAAAAACTCAGTGAAGTAATAAGCAATAAATCAATACTCAACACCGAAACCTTTAATGCTTAATCTCATACCTCACAAAGATCTTTTTTTCTTCTTGATTCTCAATTAGTGGTGTTTTATAATTTAGTTTTAGGCATCCATACAACACACTTTTTTTTTTTTCACTTACTTAAAGCCATGTAGATAATTAGGCCTAGCAGCAATCAAATTTATAGTCAACCCAGAAAGTAACCATGGTGTATTACAACAGTAGTTACAATCCATTCAGCAGGGATTTATGTGTTGTTTCCCAAATGATTTCACTACATGTATGTGCACAAAAAAAAAATTATAACTTTTACTAACATGCCGGTTGAGAGTAAGTAATAAATATTACAAAACCAATTGCTAAAGTCATAATGATAAAAATATTAACAATTATAATGCCAGTAGTGGTGAAACTTATAACTCAGTTTCTTATTTTATCACACAAAACAGTGAAAACTGTATGTCTATATATTATCATTTTGAATCCAAGTAACAATAACAGTATTCTAAACTTAGAGATTTTGAAATTAGAAAAGCAAAAATTAATTGATGTTCATGTGTTGATAGCATTTGCATGACAGTTACTGTATTTTGCTTCCACTTGTGGGATATTCATTCAATAGCAATATTAAATCACTTACAAAATATACAACAGCCTGATAGTCATTTGAGCTGAAAAAGTGCATGCCTACTAGATTGTCAGAAACATAAACATTGCTAGTAAAAGGCACATTCCAACAGAAGGATAAAAATGCAAATATAAACTAAACCAAATCTGTTTTTATGAAAGCAGTACAAGAACATATACAACACTTTGCAGGCAACAGCATTGTTATCTGCTATTAGTGATATATAAGGAAATATGGATTCTGAAGTTCATCATTACCTGTAATAACCTATATAATAACAGCCTGTACACCTGAATAACAAAAAAAGTTAAGCATTATTCATACTGACAAATGGATACTCAGGTAGCAATGAGACTATGAATGTTATGACAGGATCTTTTATTTCAACCTTTCGACTATAAGTCTTATTGAGGAGATTATCTCCTCAGGAAGACTCATAGTTGAAACATTGAGAATAAAAGATCCTGTCATAGCATTAATAGTCTCATTGCTACCTTAGTATTCAACAAAGAAAGTTACCAAGTTTTTTTCCATCATGTTAACAGTAAATGCAAGTTAACAAGTACTCTAGACCCAAATGATGGAGTCTGCTTCAGCCTGGTTGATAATAGGTTAACAGATACCCTAAATACAAAAAGTTACTAAGTTTCTTTCCATCATGTTAACAGTAAATGCAAGTTAACAAGTACTCTAGACCCAAATGATGAAGTCTGCTTCAGCCTGGTTGATAATAGGTTAACAAATACCCTAAATACAAATGATGAAGTCTGCTTCAGCCTGGTTGATAATAGGTTAACAAATACCCTAAATACAAATGAAGGTATCTTCCTTCAACACAA